CAAGAAATCCTGAACAGTTTGTGGTGTGCAACAGGACGAGTACGGTACTGGTTATGAACATGCAAGGACAGGTAGGGGTCATGGCATATTTTTATCTGACGACCGATCTAATATCTGCTACATGCGCGACATTTTCTATTCGATTTCGATTCTTTTGCTGATGATTCGAGCAAGAGCTGGACCCTTGTCGCATTTGTATTAACCCTTGATAGCTATTGGGTAGAGCACTAGACCTTAAAAGGTCTAGGGCTCGATTAGCCCGTGAGCAGACACTCATTATTTGTTAGCGCTGTAGAACGTGCATTTCTTCGCCCAAAGGAAGGGAGAGGTTTGCCGGAGGTCTGGCAATAACAATGAATCAGCGCTGGGCCCTCGCGGACCTCTCACCGGCTCACGTAGCTCCAGGCCTTGAAGTTTCCAGCGGGCGAAAAAACGTTTGTGCCGAAATGCTAGTAATAGCGACCTGTTCGCGGGCCAGGTTTCGATTGCATACGAGGAATCATATTTTGTTTTCTCCCATGCGCGAAAAATTATCTATTTATCTATTCTTCATTCGTCTCTTTGCTAAAAGTTTTAAGTTAGCCACTCTCTGGTTTATGCGAATTCAACTTCAATAAATTTCAGGTAAATCATGAGAATTTTCCATTACCTGATGTTACTGAAATGGGATTTCATTTTCAGATCGTGCGTAGTTTCACCAGTGGTAAAAGAGACGGTGGCGACTTTGTGTGTTGTACCCTCTCCCCAAGGGGAGAATGGATATACTGTGTAGGGGAGGATATGGTCATGTACTGTTTTAGTGCCTCTACAGGAAAACTAGAACAATCTTTACAGGTATTTAGTGTCTATTGGGAGGTACGTTTTTGCCTCCGATGTTTTGTACGAAGAAAACAAAGAATTGTAACTGTTCAACTTTTTCATGATCGCAAACCACATCGTTGAAAAGGCTGTTTTCTTTGGGGTTGGTGTTCTTTGCAGTTAAAAATAATCCCCACTTACTCAAAGAGGCAACCGATTTAATGCTCTATCTTCAATAAATTTCTCAGTTTTCAAAATTTTTTTACAGAGAGGAAAATGTCGATTTGCATTCTTTGTTAATCATCCACGTTTTTTTGTGGATTATTTCCATTTTGTTTTTTTTCTTCTCTGTTACCAAACGAATATTTTGTTTCCCTTCGCGTTGGAGGTAGTTTTATCTGTTGTAGAATAACGCGCCCGAATTACCTTGATGCTGAACAGAACATTTTGCCAACGCATGTGTGGTTTGGACGAGTCCCTACGATAGACACCAATGTAACAGCTTATAATCGTTTTTCGGTATATTTCAGGTTCACGATAAGGATGTGATAGGCGTCGAACATCACCCTCACAACAACCTTATTTCCACGTACAGTGAAGACGGACAATTAAAATTATGGCAACCGTGAGAAAGACACGAAAAACTGCGTGATTCTCAAACAAAGGATTATCCCCTAAACTTACTGCGCAATTTGGAAAAAAGAACTCATCTTAGTTATACAAGGACTTGCAGACTTGTTCGTCAGTTTTGTAGGGCTTGGAAATAGATGAAGGGCACATTGTTCAAAAACTTTTCTTTGAATGCCTAAACGAGACCTAAACGAGGCCTAGCTTGTACTTTAGTTGTAGTTTAATATTTACTCTTTTGAACTTGGCTTTGTGCATAGAACTTGGCATTTTCTTTTAAGAGAAAGAGCGTGGATCTTTCTAACTTGTATAAATAAAGTTATCAAAGGTCTCTTTTTCTGGTATCCATCTTGAATCATCGTTATTAAATTTCTGCTAATCATAATACTTGGCAAGTAAAACCTCAAAGGTGATCACCATGCAAATTCTCCACGCAGATGTAAATACATTATGTAGCTGACGGGTGATGAGAAGCAGTCTTTGGGTGGTATCCTGATGTGATACCAAATCCTTTCACTAATTTGCAGTAAGACTTACAACTACTCTTAGCGAATCGGACCATTGGAACTTAAGGGCTAGGAAGAACGCGCTCGGTGTATTCGCTGGTACTTCTACATGTGAGCTTGGTGTGCCAACAATTAGCTACACATTTTAGCTTGTTTGCGAGGGAAACATTTAGACAGGTGTTAATCTCCATGCGGAGATCCAAATCTAGTCATGTGACATTTCGGCGTCCATAATGTTTGTGGAAGTGATGAGAGGTTCACGATGTGTTCTTTCGGTCATTCGGGTCATCACGAGTGCCTGAACAGATACAAAGGCCAACATTTGGACGTTCTTATTTGGACCATGATTCTTAATTTTAACGTTCTTAAGAGCGTGTCTCTGTAATTTCTGACCTCTCGAGATTGGTTCAAAAATAAATCTTGCCTTAAACTTTGCATGTGGATAAGGAAACCATTGCCTATCATCGAAACAAAAGTGGTTTCCCTCAGATTTCAAAAGTTTTTTATTTTTTAACAATTTTCCGCACGTAGGTCAAATTGTGAAATTGATATCATTTGAGTACACAAAATGAGCAATCTTTATTAGGATCTCACGCTGTCAAAAATGATTCAATACGAGGTATTCTGGAATACAACAGTTTAACACGTCAACTTTCCAAGTGTGATCACAAAGGTAGAGTATCTGGATAAATGTATACCCTGTCGTTACGTCAAATATACCACTACTTGACTAAGCCGAAAAGTGGTACTTTTTAAATTGCGATTTCTCCGTACTGGGACAAAACTAGATATCAGGAGTTACACCCACTCAACAATCGTGCATGAGAACACTATATTCTGTAAAAATATCCATGGCTATTATCGCAGGAAAAAAATTAAGTGAAGTAGAAATGTGTGATTTGCACATACCTGTACGGCGCTGCTTTCGGTAATTTGCATTCGTGATTGTCCACAATGAATCACAAAATAATCGCAAATGAATAGCTCAGTGCCCATACTTATACTGTAGAATGTCCGTAAGTCGGGTTTTATTGTCCGAAGGTCCAAGGATTTCTTTCCGGGTGCGAGTCTGTAGGAGTTTAGGTCATTCATTCTGAGTGACGATTCAGTAGCCTGCGTTACAGCCGGACGTGTCACACAATCCCTAGTATAGTCTATGCCGGCGGTTTAGACTGTCTGCGACGCAGGCTACGATTCAGCACCGAGTATTTGTATACTAGCACTGTAATCCTGTCCATCTTCCAACTTTAAAGCCATGCTGAGAACAGTATCCCCTAAAGTACACAGCTCCATCCGAATTCAAGTTGTAGACTGTTCCAAATTTGCCGGTCATTTATAAGAAATCGAGTAACATTCATCGTGACATTCTTCTCTTTGATAAACAACACTGTGGCCTCGATTGCATGAGAATCTAGACAGCCACGGGACCGGGGGGGGGAAGGAGTGGAGGGGGAGGGGAGGGGCAGTCATTGGAGACAACCGCATTCTGTTACCAGTTCTTCTATCTTTGCAACAAAGTCCTTTTTTCTGTCCTTCGATGTGTAAGTTATGTCATAATAATCAAGAATTTCCTTGAGAATTGTATTATTCAGTTTCAGGAGTTTTCGCTCAGTAGCATATTCACAAACATCGAAAGTGTCATAGATAACGGGGTGTTTCAAACCAATGTGCGCATGGATAGAGTTTAGAAGCTCTACTTCATCTTCAAATTCTTTCCATTCAACTCCCGCTACCTCCTCCTCTTCTGAAGGTGTTGAATATTTTAAAGAAAGCAAGATAGAAAGCTTCTTCTCCAGGCTGGCGTCCACTCGAAAACATTCAACACCTTCAGACTTGCACCCGGAAAAAAATCCTTGGAATCCTTGGATCTTCGGACAATAAAACCCGACTTACAGACATTCTACAGTATTAGTAAGTGCACCGAGCTGCTCATTTGCGATTATTTAGTGATTCATTGTGGATAATTACGAATGCAAATTACCGAAAGCAGCGCCGTGAAAATCCCACATTTCTACTTCGCTTTATTTTTTTCCTGCGATAATAGCCATGGATATTTTTACGGAATATAGTGCTCTCATGCACGGTTGTTGAGTGTGTACAACTCCTGATATCTAGTTTTGTCCCAATACGGAGAAATCGCAATTTAAAAAGTACCACTTTTCTGCTTAGTCAAGTAGTGGCATATTTGACGTAACGACAGTGTATACATTTATCCAGATACTCTACCTTTGTGATCACACTTGGAGAGTTGATGTATTAAACTGTTGTATTCCAGAATATCTCTCGTATTGAATCCATTTTGACAGCGTGAGATCCTAATAAAGATTGCTCATTTTGTGTACTCAAATGATGTCAATTTCACGATTTGACCTACGTGCGGAAAATTGTTAGAAAATAAAAAACTTTTGAAATCTGAGGGAAACCACTTTTGTTCCGATGATAGGCAATGGTTTCCTTATCCACATGCAAAGTTTTAAGGCAAGATTTATTTTTGAACCAATCTCGAGTGGTCGGAAATTACAGAGACACGCTCTTAATGCTTAGTTTGTGTCTTTTCGTTGGTCTTGATGCTCCCCTGGACAAGGTTCAGCGAATTCTTTTTAAGTTTTAGCTATCCTTCCCCTGTATTCGTTCAGGGGAGTGTCAAGAACAAGAAGGCAATAATAAAAAAAAAAATAAAAAAAAATGAAAAAAAAGAAAATGTACTGTGAATCAGGGTAAGATTCGAACGTCCAAATTATCTCAAGAATTGTTACTATTCTACAGTTTGGGCTATCTGCGCCTTATCCCGGTCTTGAGGCACTTTTTAAATATTTTCTTCCAGTTCAATTGGTTCTTTCTAATTTTTCCTTTGTTCTGATTGGCTGATATGATCACTGGTTTAATTTGGTTTTGTAACAATCTATCATGAGTGTTACTCCTGGTTTTTCTACATAATTATATGTTTAGTATTTAAATAGACTCAAACCTACTTCTCTGGATAAAATTCATTCTGTCAATAGCCAGATAATTTGTGATCTTTTGTTGCCTCTGAAGGACATGTCCTAAATAACAATCATTTAATACTACTACTGCAACTGTATTATTTTAATTTAAAAAGGTTGCTTTACAGATAATTGTTGGGCACTAGGAATAAATAGCCTCATCTGTCCAAAAACCACTAAAAGCCAGTGCTGCAAGGTAAATTACTCCCACACAAAATGGGATGTTAGCCTGTGCATCACTATTTCAGCTTTGACTGAAATTCATTTATTGTTTGTTTGATACATATGAATGACTTACATTTATTCACTTATTCACTATTACTTGGTGACAACCTTATGGCTTGTCATTGAACATTGTAATTCAAAGCAGGGAGCAAATTAAAGTAAGTCGATATTTTAATGTTTGCTCTTCTAAAAAACTTGGTATGAAGGTTAAGTGGTTGGTAATAAAGTCAGATAATCATTTGTAATTCTCAAAAGTCATCCTAATGCGACATGGCCTCTTTAAGAGACCACCTTTGTGCCTACTACCAGCAATAAGTCATGACGAAAAACAGCATTAGCTGAGGTACCAATATCTAAATCAATTATTCCTCATGAAAAAGATAACGCACCTGCTGTACATTAAGTAATTACATTACTCTATGATGACAACCTTCAATATTGGTGCAGGGCTTTGGGCTCTACTATTTTCAAATTCACCAATTGGAGACTAGAAATCTTAAAATGGTTGAAGAAAAAATATATTTGAAGGCAGAAGGAGGAAAAGGGGAAAAAAAGCCCAGAAAGACTCAGTTTTTTTTTATGCAAATGTTAATCTCCCATTAACTAAAGACCATAAGCTACATGACTGCCAAACACAGTTCACCAAAGTGGCAATTTTCGCTGCAAATTTAGCTAACAAAATTCCCCTTTTCAGGCTGGAGACCAAGAGGGTAGCAGCTTCAAGCCCTGTGCTGAGATGCAAATCCATCACCTTACTTTCACATGCTTTCACTGCCAGGCCAACTAAGCTAATGAGCTACAGGTGAATGTTCCTGCACTATGATCGTATCAAATATATATGATTATATGCTTACTCCACCATAATCAAAAAGCTGGCAGACTACCTACATTTATTTATCAACTTAAAGTTGACAAAAATAGATTTGTGAAAACCACCAAGTAGACTTAATAAAGCTGAAAATTTGAAAGTTAAATGACCATTGATATTATAACCTTTTAATGACCTGAGGGTCTAAAATTAAATGTTTCTAAATCTCTTGAACCTATTTATTAAGGACTAAAACATTCTCCAACTAATTTAACTTTTTGTTCGATAAGAAGTAAAAAATATGCTTTGTCTGCTTGGAAGTATGGGGTCTTAAAGGAGGAAATAATTATCATGTCCTCCTGTTTACATGCTAGCAGTGAAGGCTACAAAACGGACAATCATGCCCACAACAAAGAGAGTGATTCCAATGCCAATTGACAAGTTTGCCAACTTCCTGGTCTCCATGCTCAACATATTGGCTGTAGCAAAGTCTCCTCGCATAATGGCATCCCGTGTCTGTCAAAAGATGAAAAGAGAAAAATAATTGCACTCTTTTGTGTTCATAGGAAGGTAATGAACATGAAAGCAATCTTTGCAGTAATGAACACCACTAAAGTGGTAGTGAAAATAAGAACCAGAAACAATTCAGGCCTGTATTAGATTTGAACCCATGATCTTTGCAACAAGTTAACTGTGAGGAAAGTTAGCTAATTTCTTATGAATGCAGATCAAGAGAGACATTTGGTAAGTTAAATATCACACAATATATGTCATGCAAAGCACATGTGGACTGAACTCATGAGAGCATGTGACTGCTTACCTCATTGGATTTCAATATGGCACAAATTCCAGTTGGGCAAAAACAGAAGAAACAGGCAAACCAGGCCAGGAAACAGTAATCAGGAGGTGCTATCTGTGGTGCCACAATAACACTTGGTCCAACACCCCCTTGCTGAAAATAGTGAATAGGGTATGAAGCTAAGTGAATTTGACAGTGTTTATGATCAGTTTTCAGACTGCAAAAAATTACAGGAAGAAAGTTAATGTGAACAATGATCCTCACTTACCACAACAGTAACAGAGTTTGTTTGTTGAGTTGTTATGGGGGGAACATGATAACCTTGCTGATAACCTGGGTGGTAACCAGGCTGTGCAGAATAACCAGGCTGTGCAGGATAACCAGGCTGTGCAGGATAACCAGGCTGTCCTTGGTAGCTAGGGGGATGTGTTGGGAATCCTCCTTTGTCAGTTGAATCACCTCCCAAGTGAGGAGGATGGGTTACAGGTGGGGCACCTGCATATGGCTGCGGAGGGCCTGGGTATGCTGCTGGTGGTGACTGTTGCCAACCATACCCCTGGCCAGGGGGAGGGTACTGCGGCTGAGCTGATGCATCTCCTGGTCCTGGGTAGGGGGGAGGTGCATAGGCAGGTGGTGCAGAACCTGTCAATCAATCAAATAAAATTAACATTTCGGGTCACAAAGGAAATGCCATGCTGAGAGGGCTCATATCCCAAAGATTCTCTGAGGATCTCTGTTTAAGGTCTGGCTTATGACATCATGTTTTCTTGTACAAGACACCTTACATTTGTAGTCTAAAAAATACTCATGAGATACACTGATTGGATTAGAGATGAAAATAGTCCACAAAAAATTAAGATTACTTTTAAAGCATAATTACCATTGTCATTCGGTGTGTTAGGTTCCATGTTTAATCAAAAGTATCCAAACAACTTTATTGAGCCTGAAAATTACAAAGAAACAAAAATAGTCACCATGAGAAAATGAAAAGAAAATTATTTAGTATCAAACTCTGATTAAAACTAGTAAACATTTGTACTTGACCTTCTGTAGCATGTTGATTAAATGGATGATATGATTAAGAGGCCTTGAGCTACTTTATTTCTTTTTTATTACAAGCTTTCACCGATCTACAGCAGTATTACAAAATGTTTCAGTGTGTTTATAAAAAAGCAATGTAGGTATAATAATATAGATCGATTTATAAAGCACATTTCCATGTAAATGCTCTAATGCGCTTTTCAACACTGTGCGGGGGACTTTTTCAGACTGCCTGGGGCAGTTTACCATTAATAAAGGAGAAATCTTTACAGATGCCCCCTCCCCCCTTCCCAGTAAACAGGCCAGACCACATCACAGTAATCTTGTGATGTGGGTTCTTTGACGTCCCCTGCCGAAATTAACTAATTGATAGGTGCAGGAGACGGGGCCTCTGGCTTTACGTCCTATCCGAGAAGACGAAGCAATGTGAGTGAAGCGTCTTGCTTAAGGACACAACGTCAAGCCCCAGCCAGGACTTGAACCCAGGCCATTTGACCCAGAGTCCAGCGCACTCACCACTGGACTACTCATGCCTCGGTGACTCCATTCTTTTTAAGGAGGCTCGAAAGGGTTTTCCACAATTTACAGCAAGTGTCAATCAGTAAAAGATATCAGGACTGTCAAACTTATCATCAGGATAATGACTTGATATATGCATAACACTATGTTAGGGCAATCTTTTGAGGGGGTTCACCAGGCATTACCTGTTGCCATGGCAATGGTACAGTAGTGCTACAAGACCTTCTAAAACTCAGTTTTTGAAAGATATCTCAAAAACCAAGTCGGTGACCTAGTTTTTTTTTTCAAATTTCTTAAACATCATCACATTCTCTACCTGTCCATGTGATATTAAAAAAAACTATCAAGAAGAACTTGAATTATTTAGGAAAATGCTGTTTTAAAATGTAAAAAACTTTCCACTAATAATTTTTTTTAAATTTTCTTCAGAAACACGTAATGATGAAATTAATTTGTACACAAAAAATCAGGGTAGGTCACCGAACTAATTTTCAAGATATTAGTTCATCAACTTAGCGAGCTTTATTTCTGGTTTTTGCAATTTTAGCTCCCACTTTTATATCCAGTCACGCGTTTTAAACGATACCGCTGACTCAAGGGCTCATTTTTGCGAGGATGAGTCCGTGTCCGCGCGATTAATCGACAGATGCCCTCAGCGCGGAAAAATCGTTCATCCTGAAGATGGATCAGATTCACATTGTTTTGCGATTTTACACATTCCTGAAAAGTGAGTCATCATTTGAGACTCAGACTGCTTACCATTACGACAGTTGGAAATGAACTCCAGAGAGAAACTCCGGAGAGAATTCTCTGGCGGAATTTGATATATGATGACAAGTTGATTTTGCAGATGGCGCCGATACCAGTACTCCATTGAGGCCGTTAATGTTAAGTTTCTCGTACAGAGATTGTAGTGTAACATGAGACAAACCCGCATCTGCCAGCTTCTGGACCATTTTTGTCGAAAGATGAAGCTTTCCATCGAACATCTGGATGGTATCTTGTCGCTGTTCCGAGAAGATGGTTTGATCAAAGGCCTCATGTGGCGATGCACATTTACCATGATTGTTCATGTGCAGTTTGGAGTGGAAGAGTGAAAACAATTTGGAGTTAAAATAATTTGCTTTGTCATCTTCCAGATTGTCATGAGCATCAAACTCAGCGGAAATTAGGGTTTCATATACATCAGCAATTTGTTGGTCGTCACAGATTTTGCGAATTTCTATAATTTTCGAGGCACTAGAGGTATGAACAAGCCTTGGCTTCTTTTTTTTTTTCTCTTTGCCACTGTCATAACCGTGAACTTTCATTATTCTGTTTTAAATGGAAAACAAAACAAATTTTGCAATCCTTTCTTAACAAATGGGACTAAGCATTTTGGTAGTTGTAATTTACAGTTTATCGAGGGAAATATCAACAATCTTTCTCACAAGTTTAAGATGAATATTTTATTTTAATTTTACCATTTGTGGTTGAATTAGAATTAAAGTCTCATCTACATTTTTATGATCTCTTGTTTACTGAAAATTATGTTTATTTTTATGGCAACATTTACACTTCTCCATTTCTGTTAATAAAACTGTCAATGTTTACAATCTTGCATCCAACAATGATTTCATTTTCCTTTTCATCTTCCAGTGAGTTGTTTAAGAAAGGTTTCGGTCATTTCATTTTATTAGGAATCAAATTCAATGCAAAACAAATTGTAGCACTCAGAGGTATCCACTTAAATTTTTCGCGGACAAAATAAGATCTACTGAATGCACTTGACGCGACTTTATTGATGGGGTGTCGACTTCACCATCCTCCTTTCACTCGTTAAATAAAATTTTTTGACCACTTTCGGCAAGAATCCTGCCATCTGAATATTTTCCTAGCTGCTTTCAAGAAGTAAACTTTCCATTTTTGTTTCTCAAACAACCACTTCTGCTGGAAACAATAGAGGTGCCGGCAATTTTGAAACACTCATGGCAGCCATGTTTGCTTACAAATCGCCCATGGATCTGATCGCGCGCGCCATTGTTTATTTTTCTCACGAGTAATTAGCTTGCGTGTATCTTGGAATCCATTCTCCGCGCGGTCAAACAACCCCTCTCGAGCCTCCTTAAAACTGTTTTATACTGCTACTAGTTCCTAACCACATATCAAATTTTCATTGGTTAATTCTTGATTAGTGATATTATCGACAGTCTTTCATTGATCTAAATATTTTTTTTATTTATTTATCACAAAATACAAATAACCTTTTTCACCACAAAATGCAAATAATGATAAAAACAAGACAGTCACACAAAAACAAATAAAAGTGGTGAAGAAGCCCAAAGAGAAACCATGGGACTTATAGATATTGGGCTCCCTCAGAGTAAAAAGGAGAAAGAAAATAAAGTTAATGTTCACCTGTGTGGGATATATAAGTACTTTGGTTCATTTAGTAGAGGTGATAGCATAATTTCAAGTGCAATTTGGTGTTAATAAGCAAAGGTAAATTTTTTTGAAGAAAAACAAATTGTGGGAGCCCAAGGGCGAGTGCAATTTGTAGTCTGAAAAATTTACAAACTTATTTACAACAAATTGCACAAGAAATCATGTTGTTACTTATCAATAGTTTACATGAAAAATATATCACAGAAAGTCCAGGAAAAAAATTAGACAACGAGTGCTATTTGTAATTTGAACTTGTCTTAAAACTTTGCACTCATGTTACAACTTTGCATTTCTGTTAAATGAAAAAAGCAGCCTATCAGAAGCATGTTATTCTTTCATGTATATTCTTAACATATAAAAAAGAAAGAAGCAAAAAATACAAATAAGGAGGTTGCATCTGCTGTGAATTAAGTTTATTGCCATGGCTGTGAGAGATCAGTTTAAGAGCTGAATTTTCGTTTGAATCTTGCTTTCACGAAGGTGCTCTTGTTTTTATTCCATTTTCCCACTAACTTGCTGCCATGCAAAGGTTTTCTTTTCTTTCTACTAAAGTTTCCTCTCATTTTAGAAAGTAAAATACTGAGGTCAATTGCAGAGAAAATGTTTTCTCTTGACACCTTTAATAGATAGATAGATAGAAACTTTATTAATGTGTCAAAGAACCTTCTAGTTTGGGAGATATCCCATACTAATGTGGGGACACAATACTAATTTTATAAGCATGCACACTGGGAATATATATGAAGGGTCCTCACACATTTGAATTTGATTACACAAACTAAACTGGGGTTGGTTACAGAATGTTGTTTTTAGTTAATAGATATGACTATCCCAACCTGATCAAAACGATTCGTAGGGGTGAAGTTGTGATCAATAGATTTTCAGTTAATCACCGACAACTATCTCAGACCCAGTCTCACAAGATAAATTGATGGTCTCATATTCTAATACTCCTGGGGGCCCAGTTGTTCGAAGGCTGATTAGCACTAACCCAAGGTTAAATTCTAATAAGGGTTTCTTTAATCCTTTGTTCAAAAGTCTTTTTTGGGATAATATTCCTTACACTTTTTATAGCATCCAATCACCAAGTTGTAGAAAAAAAGAATTCCACTGAATTTCCTTTTAAACCTTTAAGATCTGAAATCAGATTTTACAGTAACCCTGGGTTATCTTAACCCAGCTTTGGTTCTAACTTCCTCACTGTTGAGTCAACCAGCCACAAATTTGTGCCCGACCTCATCCATCAAACATACTCTAAATGCAATCTTGTTAACAGGTACATTATTTTGGAATGGAACAAACAACTCTTTGACCTAATTCATTTTTCCATTGCGTATCGACGATTTAGGCATTTACAGCTGTAAAACCTCAGTCCTAACAGAACGGACAACATATTAGGCGCTAAAGCAGCGAAAGCAAATTACATGGCTTACTAATTAGGAATAGCTTACCACAAAGGAAATTACACAAAGTCAACTTTGTATCTCAATGCAATTTCCCCATCTCTACAGACACATCGTACAATCTCCATGAACGAGAAAGAACCGGAATAATTCGAAAAGTAGAAGGGTTCGTCGTAAGAGGTCACTGATTACATTTTTAGTTCTAAGATAAGATATAACGAGAGAATTAAGACATATAACCATACAAGAGTGTCGACGTGCTAATCGCAATAACTTTCTAATGAGTAAGTTTAGCTGAAAATAGACGCGCAATATCCAAGCTTTCTGTGCAGTCGTTCATCAAACAGAGGGTCTGTCAAGCGAAACATCTACATAAGAGTTCCTTGGATACAATGAATATACGAAGTTCATATATTTTGAACTGCGGTATTAAATACGTATGATGCACGATCCTTCGCAGTAGATAGCGCTATTTATGCAATAGCGAAATCAGACCTGAAAAAAATCCGGCCCCATCTGGCCTGATTTTTTTCAGGCGTGATTTTCGCTATCGCATAAATAGCGCTATCTACTGCGAAGGATCGTGCTTCATACTTATTGTTCCTTAGCTTGAACTTACAAAGTTTTGAGTCACAAATAGCATTAAACAAACACCAATTGTGTGAAGTTTACCTTGAGAAATGATTAAAAACAACTGACTAACGCCTTCGGTGCCTTTTTCAGGAATCTTTTCCCTCCGAAAGAAACTTAGAGACTTCAGCCTTTAGACATCTGCTCAAAGGCTTCTAACAATTACTTGACGTCATTTCAAAGACGTCACCGTTGCTAGCCACAAAGAGGCCTGGGCACGAGCCAGAGAAAACGGACCCCAAAGCGTACGTAATCGCGTAAACAAGTGAATGCCAGATTTTCCCGGAAATTTCGTCTTAAATCTTTGAGACTCGAGAGAGTTCGCATCACTATAAAAGCCTTCGCTTTTTCTCCTCAATCCTAAAACCTTTCATGTGTTTTAATTTAGCCGCTCAAACGTACTCAATCCCGGCCCAAAGTTGTTCGACTTCCTGTCAATTTATGAATGAGGTTTTTTTTCTCACTCAGATATTTTGTCGCCAATTTCAGGCTGAAATTAGCATTTCGCAGCCCTAAGAATAAAGAATCAATAGCTAAATATACAACTGAATAAAGATCAATGACATGATTTATTTTGGCATTGCCTCAACATGCTACCGTCCATAAACCACTAACCACCCAATATACCACAGGTTGACCAAGCACCAAAGAGCAACTGGAAAGGGCAGGCATGAAGCCACTGAGTGCGGAAGTGATGTCTCGTAGATGGAAAATGATTGGTCATATTCTTAGGAAAGATCGTAATAATGATTGCAATGTTGCTGTGAGTTGGGCACCAGAAGGTAAAAGGAGAAGGGGTAGACCAAAAACCAATTGAAGACGTGCAGTAGAGAAAGAAAGGCAAGAGGCAGGTTGGAGGTCGTGAGAGGAGGTGAGGACAGCAGCAACCAATCGAGAGGAGTGGAAAAGCTCTGTGAAGGCCCTATGTGCCACGAGGCACGAAAAAGATTGATGATGACCAAGTACGATCTAGGAGTTATACCATACTGCTTTTACACATCAGGAAAAATATGAGAATGTGAATGGGAAACACAGTTACATCATGAAAACAGGAAATACCCGTGATTTATTGAAAAAAAAAACCGATCTTGCTTCCGGTTTGCAACTGTTTTTCAGTCAATTCATAGAGATTCTGGGAGTAGTTAGTCTCTGTGTTTTTTCATGTGTCTAGGAAGAGCGCTGAAGAACACTCCGAGTTACCCCGCCCCTAGACCATCATGGAATTGTCGGTGATAAATTTTAGATCAACAACTGATCAGAAAGGACATGAAAGTGAGAACATGCCTTGGCAAGGAGCTAGGATGAATATTTTCGGTAAAGAGGGGGGGTGGGGTTGTGACGCAGCTGTGAAGACTTAGCAGTTGTGGCTGCTACTTAGTGTAAACTTTGGAAACCTCATACAGGTTGTGCGGGATACGAGGTGCTGTTACATGACATAGTAACTGACCTTTTGCAGAGCAACTCGATCCTCGGACTTGCAATTCAAACACATTGTATGTAATCTTCACCATCCACTCGGAGCTTGGTATCAGTTATCGTAAGTAAATTATTCCTTCTATTTTAATTCTCGTTCCTTCTTCACATATGTGAATTGTAACGGAAAGTCTGAAGAGTTCGAGATTCCTCCAGTTTCAAAGGATTCCCGCCGAGGCTGTAACATGTTAGAGCTACTGCACTCACTACATTGGACGTAAGCTTAAAGCAACCTATTCTGTTAGCTTTAAGAAATGACAGTTTCCACAAGTTGCGAGCAATGGTTCTCAAACATAGACCATGAAAGAAAGAATCTGCTAATGAGTTCTAAAGCTACCGTCGACCGGGAACATTTTAACATACTGTTTGATTAATTTATTTACAACGTATAAACAAACCTTGGGTTTTGTCACGCAACGCACTCGCAAGAGGTCTCTCCACAAGAAATGACGGAGTTCTAATATTCAGAACTCTTTAGAATAGCAGTAGCTTATTAATTACAATTGATTGAATTGGAAATTTAAAAGCTCTTTGTTCGCTTAGAAATTTTTCTTTCGCAAGGCTTTGTGAGCCCTTACTATACATTTAAGGTCTTGAGTCTAAGGAGTGACTGTTTTAAGTAAAAATCTCGAAGTTTGGTAAACATCAGATTTATACAACTGAGACGATAGGTTTTCCTGGTCTTCAAGACCTCAGTGGTGTTCCGACTTTCGCATGCTTGATTAAGAAGCAATTTTCGTAACCCACTGAGCTTTTTTCTTGAAAAGGACCACTTCAGAATCTCATCAACAAGAACATGTAATAATTTTTTCTTCATTTACGTCTATGTGAGTCTAGTTTGACTTAGATCTAGACTTGATACGTCACCAAATCCGCATCTTAGGCAAGACTATGTGAAAACGACTCTAGTTGTAGGAAAGAGTCGATTCTGGCGCATACCATGATTTTATCGGCAGCCTTCAATAAGTTCTTAGATAAGTTCTTGAATAAGTTCTCTGATAAAGGTTTTGAGCAAGAACCTATCGAGCTACTCCGATAAAATCATTGTTTGTGCCAGAAAGGCCTTTTCCTACAACCTACACACACTAAAATGGTTGTCACGTTATCGTGACGTGACATGACGTGACCGTGAAAGCCGTCAGGAGGGTTGACAAGAGCCGTGCATTACATATCACTTTGATAAATCAAATGCTCTCTCGTGTGCCTCGACAAAGGCATCGACATCGGTAACAATGACATGACGATGACGAGAATGATAAAGATAAAATAGGAATAACGTTAAACTATAACGATACCGACAATGATAGGGATAACGTGACGATGACAAATTCAGTGACGACGATATTTTTAACAAAAACTGTAATTGCGACGAGAACAACAATAACAAAGACAACGATACCGTTGACGATAAACGAAAGGATAAGGAAAAGACAAAGACAGCAACGACAACTATAAGGATAGTAACGATGATGATGATGATATTTGTTTATTAATCGTCATTGCAAAATTATGAAAATGAAATGCCAACCTTAACTCAGTTCTGTGTTGTGTACTCTTTACATCGATAGTTACGAGCAAGAATGACGTACGGCTGGCATGGACAGGCGTCACAACCGACAAGCTCTTAATTCACCTAGAGGCGACTGCCTCGATGAATGTGAGTATAAAACATAGGGGACATCGCATAAGTGTGCTGTGTCATGAAAATTCGACTAAAAGAGTTTAGACTATACTGGTAACCGTGGCATTTGGGAAAGAAGAATTAAGAAGCGCTACCCCCAAATAAGCACCGCAGTTCCGATATGATGTTTAAATATTCCATGAATTCTTTTACAAGCTTTGATCTTATGTGTGTATCAGTTGAATATCTTGAGGGAACTAGGTGCAAATCTTTTCCAATGGATAGATTCAGACTTAGAAGAGGCGTATTATCCCACGGTGGAGCTCGTGGACTCACATCAAGAAGGGGTAAGTGGGATCGAAGTTGAGGTAATGCACTGGTCGCCGCCGAAAATGTCCTCCCCAAAGTAGGATGCCCAAACTCCTAAGGCCGTGCTTAAGCCGCGAATTCCCCACATCACTCGTTCCTATCCTTCGTATATTCAAAAGTAAAAAAAAAAGGAAACGGCCTGAAGGGCGTGAAAATGCCAGTAGCCAATACGCGGTTGGGTTTAGTTTGTTTAAGAGGGTGGAACGAGTTTTATGGACCAGTCACAGAGCGAAATATAATAAAAACCAATTCAATAATAGATTACTTTCAATATCCAAATGATAATTGATTTGAAAGGAGTTTACGTTTACTTCATTGGGAATCGTGTAGCCGATGGAGCGCCTCAAGTGTTTTGTAAGACTTGAATCGAGTGTTTAGATAATGACTTGAATTGTTTAAAGGGGCCTTAGATTAACATTCACAAATTAAAATCATTGAAAAGTTCATAATTACCAAATGAACACAAAAGAAAATTTTCATCAGATATTATTCCTCCTCCAATTTCCGCCCGAGTGCCCTTTAATTTGTTAGCACTAACATAACTATTACAAAGAAAGCCATCTAAGAGCGACGTGACGTCTCAAGTAAAGGCAAACCCTTATAACATATGGTTGTCGAACCATACGGACAGGTTGATTGGAAACTAATTTGAAGATGATCAAGGTATGAATCAAGTTTTATATCGAGCCACTGGAATTTCTGGACGCGATAGAAATGTTTTTAATTTCACAAATAGCAATAACGAGTTACTTTCTTTGCGAGTGAAAAGACACACGTATCTTCTAATCACTGAATACCTTATTGATAATTTGGAAGGCTAATGTTCCAGCGAAGACGTCACGAGCGCAATTATGATAATTGAATCCTTTATTATCACACGGAAGATTTTTATGTAGCGTCGGTAGTATTGTCGTACTATGGATCGTCGGGGCCGTAAAAACGGTTAGAGAAGCAAAACGTGATTAAAAGTTGGTGAAGGTATCAAGGAGAGAGAAACGTCGCAAATGAACAGAAAGGTGCGATATTGTAGTATTCATTCGGATGGGTACTATGTGAATCTATCATGACTTGTAGTTAAACAGCGTTACCTACTGATAGTCACGCGAAACCAAGTCTGACATAGGTGTTAATTTGACTTAATACCGTCTTTGTGGTTGGGTAAATTGCTCGCTGTTTAATTTCCTTCTTGGTGGTTTATTTGAAATCAAGTTCTTGAACAGTGTTTCGACCATCAACGAACGTAAAGGTCACTCAAATAGTGTCCACACTGGTTTGTTCAGTTAGTTATTTCTTGAAAGAGGAACCCTTGTCACTATACGTGATCAGTTAATCAGTTGTGGGTGTTAGTTCGGCTATCAAGTAGAATTCTCTCCAATTAGGAGGTCTTTCTCCTCAAAAACTTACTTTGTTTGTTAGAGAAAGTAGTTGATCTGTTGAACAAAAGATGAAGCGGGACCATTATGATAACGACTGAGAGCCGCATGACGCTTTTTGTATTTACTATTGGCAACTTACGTCCAGCTGCACACATTGAAGTTGTTAGTTGGGCATTTTTCCCGCTCTATGACTCATTCTTAAGCTTGAAAGATAATGCCATTACTGAGAGGACAAGAGCTGAAAATGTTTCCACAAGTTTCAATTTCAGCCGCTTGAGTTAACTTCAATGGAATTTTTTAACTTTCAGAGACTCTTGTTTACATTACGAATTGTAAAAATAATAAAGATATTGACTAAAAAGTCAACTGTCCGTATCGAGGGGTCAATACCGGAGCGACAATCCATAAAAACATGGTATACGTCATAAGCTCAGATTGTGCTGTGTTTAAAAACAATTTTAAGTGCTGCCTAGGAAACCAACTTTTACCATTAGGCTGGATGAGTTCCAGGTGGAAATTGCTGTGGTGAATCACAACAGAATGTCTTTAATCTTCACAAGTACCAATTTCTTTTTAGTTTATGCGCGATTTCATGGATAGTGCTTGACCGCGACTTAACCTTGTAGCTTAAGTTTCTTTCTTATTGCAAGATGGACTCGTCAATTTCGCGACATAGCCGACTCCTTGAACTCGAGCAATCTTTTTTAATGGATTTTGAGCTAGAATTTTCAGTTTAAAACCAAACAAGCTGGTTTGACTTGAAACAGATAACGAAGTTTAAGCGCAAAATGAAGGAGAAGTCTTAAGTGATGGCATTGGCATTTTTAAAGTACTTTTAGAATATTTGATATGATATGGCCTGAATGGTCGGTTGCTATTTCATGCATGTTCTAAACAACGGGGATGTCTATGTCTTGGCGAAACTCGACTTAAGTAACCAGACATCGCGTGAAAAAAAATACTTGTTTTCTCGAACTTTTTCTTGTTCTTGTACAGTGTAGTGCACGAACAGATGTCCAAGTTGGATTTTAAACAACAGCAGCAATAAAATGGCTCAAAATCCATGATGCTACTTTGAAGGAAGTATTTAGAGTTGAAATTTGTATTAACGTGCAGTTACAATACCAGTCTCCCTTCATTCAATGTAGTACAGTCACTAAAAACAAACTGCGATATTGTACTAAGGAAGAGGAACTGAAAGTAAGGTCGTTAGGAATAAAATTGCACTCCATTTTAAAATAAAGCAATTTCCTGAGTGCTAATGTGTCAAGCACTGTATCGCTAATTGTAGTTGTCTTAATTTTCTGGCCACATCACACTGATGTTCAAATGGTATCATAGATTTCTTGGTGCCACTGAGTACAGATCATCGTTCATTTACATATATAAGATCTTCTCTCTTTTATCAGTCTATCTTTTTGGAATTAACTGCCCTAAATTTCAATTGATCGTGCATCGTTGACGTGTGATATTGTGAAATTAGGCACACTACAGCGCTTACTTTACTCTAATTACATATCACAGAACATCGTGTTACGATTGCTATAGGCGATCACATGATATTCTTTGGAACACTTTAGCAATTCATGAAGAAAAGAGTTCCTTTCCTTTTCATACGAGGTAAACTTGTCAACAATCCGGATTAAAGATGAAATATGTCATCTATAGTGCACTTGAAAGTGATGCAAGATTACGAATTTGTCGTGTCGTTTTCGTCCGACAGCGTTTTGTCTAGCGAGGATGACTTCATGTTGGTTGTAACTTTTTTTTCGTTTTTATGATATTCAGCAAGAATCATTTACGCCCTAAACTGGCCAGGAACAGATAGAAATTGCGTAGCCAAGTGAGAGGAATGGAACTCAATGGAGGTAAGATTTTTATCTCTTTATTATTAAGCTGTTTTTTTTTTTTCAGGGTTTTATGATTTCCGCGATAAAAACTATGCAATCAAAGTAAACGTCAGATGTACGTGTTCAAATTCTTTGTTAGTACTGGTAGTCACCTTTAGGCCCTCGAAACAAAAGGCGAAAGCCAATATGTCTTATCACAACTTCAGATGGCAAAAGAAAAGGTTGCTGAAGATAGTGATAGAGACAAAAGATAAGCTGTCCAAACACATTGGGTTAGTGTTTTCCGGGGCACACAGAGACATCATTATGTAAGAGAAAACTGATCCAATAGAGGAAAGAGGCAAATACAGGGAGCTTCCTCAAGCTAACATCATAGGATTAAAAAAATAAGGCAAAATGGAAAACGATTTTGAAGTATGTTGACGGAATCTTCAGGGTTAGTGAAAATGAGCAGAAATATCGTGAACCCTTTAACTCCCACGAGAGACCAAGACAGAAAATATCCTCACAATATCAATACAACACCCATGCAACAGACAAAGGGTGAGAATAAAGGAAATCATCAGCCAAGAGATCATTAGTTGAATTCAATGCAATACCAAACTCTCCAAACTAGTATCATACTGAGAACTGTAACTGAACTGATAGAAAGGAAAAAAAAAAAAGAAGAAAAAGAACTGCTGATAGAGAGGAAATTACTATTAAGATCTTGGGAGTTAAATCAGACAGCATACGAACATGTATATTTCACCCATTGTTTTCGTGGAAATCAGTTTGAATCAAAAGGTTTGCAAGTTAGAGATGAAAGTTCATCTACATGATATTTTCTGTACCTACCGTAACAAATATACACATGTTTGTTTTATTACTCTGGACTGAAAACTCCAGTAGCCCGCGATGGGTCTTAACCAAACAGTACAGACGAATTCTCAGGTTTAAAATGCCAGATCATGATTTGACACAAAATAATTCCTGAAGTGACGTTCCTTCGGTGTTGATGTGAAAGTTTTTGAACTGGATTGCGTGCTATGGAAGCCAGATCTTTTCTCTGCATTGAACGACATTTTTTCCCTCTCAACAAAGATGGTAAAGCTTCATATTTGAATTCTGTTAGAATCCTCTCTCACAATAACTTTGGCACTGAATTCGAACTCCCTAACGTCTCAGATCTATTTCGTAATTCTCCCTTCTGGCTGCTACCAGCAGTTTTCTTTAATATGATTTTAAGTACCCTCCAGCTGATACGCATGTATATTCTATAACCTAACTACAGGCTAGTATATCGACGTATTAAGAAGATGTTACGTTTTCATCACCTCTGTAATTCAGGGCTCTTCAAGACAACGTTACATTGCATTTTCGTTTTTACCAATCGGGTGAATTTGTCTTTTACAGTTTCACGTAATGGCCACATCAAGCAACAAAATCTCAATAAATTAGAGAACGAGAAGGTAAAAAACTCAACACTCACCATCTCAGATCAAACTGACGAGGAAGAGGAAGGAGACCAAGTTACACCTCTGCCTGGTTCAACTGTGAACCTTGATATAGTGAGTTGGCCCCCAGAAGAGACAGACCCATCAGGGCAAGTCCGCGTTACAGTCATACCGTCGGCTCAGGTTTGTGTGTTATAAAGCCTTTCTCTCTATATATAGTTTTTTACGTTTATTCAGTAAAGTACGTCAGACAATAAGGAGGACTAAAGACGCTGCTAGCGTCAAGTGGACTAAAATAAATCTTTGTATGTTTGTCGAAGGACGAATCTAGAAGAAAATCCCGGTATTCAACATATCAGCAATCTCCGCCATCACTTATTCCTCGACCAGAAAATCACCTTTGTCTGGCAATAACTGCAATGGTCTGTTGCTGCCTACCCTTGGGTGTGGTCGGATTCATTTGCGCGCTACAGGTAAAATATCCCAGCGGTATACATACTCGTTTTCTGCTGTTGATACTTTGATGGGATTGTGTTTGATATCTGAAGTAGTCTTAAATGAAACGAAAAGAAGAAACGTGAGGCTATGGGAACTGAGCCTTTGGGCTATAGCAACAAATCTTCATACAAATTTATGCGCTATTTTATTTCCAGTATCCACATTCTACCACAACCTTTTTTTTTTTCATAAGAAACAAGGTAATTTGACAAGATCAAACAACGACCGGGAAAGAGAATGGGTACCAATTTGCTTCCACTACATTTTAGAACCACTCCAAACATAATTACATTTGTCGTGACTACGATTAATAGATTTGTGATACGGTCTGTTGTGTTTACCCTATCACAGGTGGACAGAACCTACGATGATGGAAACCGAGAAGGTGCCGTGGAGAAATCGAAAAATGCCAAGTACTGGAGTATGACAGCAATTGTGTTTGGCATGCTGGGAATAATTGGGGTGTCGTTTTATGGGATATTCTTTCATCTCGTTCCTTCTATATCATAGCCTTTGCGAGCGGTTGACGGTTGACTTAAATTTCAGGCGAGACAAATTTTCACATCTCGCGAAATAAGCATGAGAGTTTTTAATGATGCTCAGCGTCGAATATGCTACAATCAAGCTGAGTCTCTGTTCAGCCCTGACTTGGAAGAAGGACTATGGGAGAACGGTATCATATCCTGAATTTCTTCCTCGCAATCCTTTCACCAGCAACTGTCTATGTGCTTGAGGATGGCAGAACCAAGGACATGGTGTAAATCTATCTTAAACATGAAAGAATCTACGATCACAGAAGTAAAGAAAAACGGAAGAGGTTGTGTTACGGCCAATACAAAAAAGGGGGTGGGGTGGTGTTTTGGACAGCTCAAGACTATGATAGGCGCACCTCTCCCCCTGATCCAACTGCTCAGAGTCAGTTGGATCGAGAAAGTGACAGAATTTTATTTTGATTTTTAATGTCTTTGCTGCATGGATTCATCCTTACTGATACTCCAGCTTATCGAGACATGGCTGAAAAATCCATGTCGCTAATCACTTAGTCGACCGTAAGCAACGAGGAGAGAGCTTGGCTCACACTCTTTGTTCGTGAAGAGGAAACAAAAAATTTTATACAAAGCATGACTACGGACTTCAGTTACAGAGCGAGTTAAGAAAGTCAGAGGGTGAATTTTTATAGAAAATACTGAAGACAGACTTGGTTGCCTCAAAATCCTACAAAACCCTTTGTAAATAACTCGGCTCGAAAATTCTTCCTTAATAATTATGAAATTTTGCATCAGACCATAAAAATGAGATGTCACGGTTATAGTTAGTCTCCTTCGCAGCCGTTGGGGAGGAGCGTTGCGTGACGAGCCTAAAAACGGCTGCGAAGGAGACTAGGTTTTAGTTTGAAGTAAGGCGTTCTTCATCAACCCCTTGACCCCTAACAGTGATCAGCATTTAATTTCTCCCTAACAGTGATCAGCATTTAATTTCTCCCTGCAACATCACCCCTGAATCACACATTAAGGTTATGAGAGTAAAAGAAATGATCACCAACTAAAGAGGCTCTTGATTGTTAAACAAACACTCCTTGTTAGCACCTAAGAAAATGTATCAAGGACAGTATGAAGAATGTAAATGCTGATGTTAGGGAGTAGTGGGTTAAGAGAAGTCGTCATTCTCTCAAACACGATTTCTTAACACAACAGCGGATCCAGACTTATCTAATACCGCAGTTCAATAATACTGCATCATACGTATCTAATACCGCAGTTCAAAATATATGAACTTCATATATACATTGTATCTGATCCAGACTTAATTAAAATACGGTGGGACCCCGTTTTTAATCATGTTGGCATTTGTTAAGGTGGCAGCGGTAAAGCACCAGGAAGATTGAGTTTTGAAACGACTTCTGGTTGAAATTAAAAAACCGCTTAATGAACGAGAGTTTGTCATTTTGTCAAACAAACAATGTGATATAAACCTCTGTATTAGACAAAGAGATTTTCCTAACCGATACAATACCATACCTATGCTGTGTGATTTCAGTGCCTTAACGATGTTATCGTAACGCACTATGGGTTTAAAAAACAATAAGATGAATAATTTAATCCTGTTGAGGCTAACCCCACGGTGTTTTGAAGCGGGTAACTGTCGATAACCTCTGATCTAAGTCTCCTGTCAAGGCATATACATATAAATTTTCATAATGCATACCGCTGAACGAAAATATTGCTTTCAATTAAAAGCTGTAATTGCATGAGGTCACGACATCACACTTCGCTCGTAAACTTTGTTTTGTGTGAATACTCGATTAGACTGGACAGCCGATTTTTGTAGCCGATTGGCTAAGCTAAGCGAGAAACAACTTTTTATCTCACTGGCACGTTTCCACAGCGTCAGGTACGTGAAAAGGAAAGCAGGTTTCTGCATAAGCTTACTCATGATATTGCATCACCTAGTTGTCGATTGCATTCACGATTGCTGTTTAGCTACCTGCCTGTTGAAACCTATAGTTTTTCAAAGCATTTCGTTCGAAATGAGTGAAATTTCTCAAGAACGAAGCTTTGCCTCACAAAGCAACGAATTTAAAGCGCCCGAGGCTCTTTTCAAAATACAAGGCGCTGTCAATCGATGCTATGTAAACAGATTAAAGAAACTAATCATTCGATACCAAGTTAGCGGTACCTTATCGTTTGAGCTTTGGATTTTGAATAACATAAAAGTTATGTTTTATTTTACACCTTTGGGGGAGATCCTTTTTAAAAGCTGAAAGTAACCAAAGTGCCGTTTAAATTTTGCGAGAAAATAAACGCTTGCGTGACATTTAGACGCACCATGTCCATCGTACAAAATTTGGAAGTCGATAATTGCAACGATTTGTCTTTTCTTTGACCTATGCTTGGTTTTTTTCGTATATTCAAAAGTAGTTTTAGCAAGCTAGTGTGCACTGAGAAGATCTTCTGGAGCACACAAAAAATTTCTTTGTGATCGTTAGTCCGGATTTGTGATTCGAAGGAAATTTGCATATTACGTGTACGAGTCCTTTCAAAAGCAAATGGAGTTTGACTAATGGTCGTGGGTTGTGGGTCGTGGGTCGTGGGTACAAGTCGTGGGTCGTGGGTGCGGGTAAAAGTCGTGGGTGTGGGTAATACAGATTAATTAATGGTTAAGAGCTCATATAATAGCACCACTACTAATAATAAATTACTGTTATAGATTTTGTAGGGGAAAAGGGTTTTTTCGTGATCGCGAAGGACCCTTTGGCTGGTTTTTTTCTCTCGTTAAACGTGATTTGGTTATATTGCCGTGAACGTTGAATCGCCTTTTCTTCATGGAAATTGCGATATGACTAGCTTTTTTCACGAAACGTGACTTGAACCGTTGTTATTTTTCTTTTCCAAAAATTTATCCTTTAAGCGTCTCAAAACAAGACGTGAAACATGACTGTCATTAGCTACCGTGAAGTAATGCAATACTTCTCGACGAACAATGAAATGTATATTTCTCGAGTACGTCACATTTCCGGCAACTCTGCCGAGTCTGGTCTTTGTCAGATAAGAAATGAATCGTTTGAAAAACTATTAGAACCTCCTCTTTATTTATTAATTTACTTATTTCAATAATTCTTCATATCTAGTTTATTTTATGATTCAGAAAACGACCTGGCTAGTTAAATGGACGAAGAAAAATTTTAAGATTGTACTTGGTTCTTCGTTTAATTCTTGTCACCGATGCCAGTTGTCGTGACCAATTTAACATTGGCTTGTGATTTCCGGTTATCGATTATATACCGCACACTGGATACCAGAGGTTTTGTGTTTTCGAGCCTTGGAAAACCTTGGAGCCAACATATCCAGACCTGCAACTAACGTTGCAACGTTGCTATGTATATATCGGCTTATCTTGCAACAGTTCGCTGTTTCACTTCATTTTTTTTCTTAGTTGCGTGGTAGATGGTACGCGATACAGAGATGACAATTGATGAAGCATTCGGTTCTTTGTCTGAATGTCATTGATCAACACAAGCTTTATTTTCCCTAACCAGCAGAGGGATATACTGTTACTTTTACTTTTATTTTTAACCGGCACTGAGAGCACAATTTAATTTTAATTCAAAAACAAGGCCAATAGCCGTGTTTCTGATCCTCGTTTTATATCGAAGCTTCTTTCATGTTCTGAAAACGTTGCTCTTTTAATTAAGATTAACACTTCTCTCTTTTCAATGTAAGATTATTTTTTGTGTATTGATCAAGGGTTTGACCTGAACAAAACTCCTCAAACTCTTTGGAATGACCCTCATTTTAAGAGATGACATCATCCTACAAATAATGGCTTTGTCTTTGGTTTAACTTTTCTTTTTGGGTGAAATGAATTAATTCTGTTGGATGAAATCAATGAAATATTAGGCTCACTAAACCGAGCTGATACAATGATAAGGGTTGTATAATATTTATGTATTATTATAACTAATATTTTAGATGATTATTGTTATCATTTGTATTAATCACACCCATGACTTTTACCCACACCCACACCCACGACCCACAACCATTAGTAAAACTCAGGCAAATGAAATCGGTGCACCCAAAAGTGTTACATTTCACCCCACTAATCTCCTCTCAAAAAATCATTTTGTAACACGTTAATTAATTCGATAGGTTTTCGTGATAATGGGCAGTGCTGAGGTGTGACTTGCTCTTCCGCTAGAGGGCTATAGTTTGTGTGGCACGCTCTCAGTCCGTAAAAAAGCGAAAACGCAGTGAATATAAAACAGAGGGGTCACAAAGAAATGAGCAGCCGTTTACTTCATAATTACATCCGCTGGTTTTCGCTCGCTCGCCTTTTAGTTCGTTTCTACGGACTGAGGACCTGGAACCCGGCTGTGACTTGTAAAGAGGGCTAGGAAAGAATCACGATATTAACGAAGACTTTGTTGTCTATTTTGTCGTAGTATTGACGTGAATCGCATCTATAAAACGCTATGAGTAACTTTAGCTGGTGGAGGAACTTGCTGGGTCAAAAGCTAACAGATGAAGAAATGAAAAACATAAAGTACCCAGCAACAGAACTCTACACTCACGTCACTTTCAAGACGATTCAAGCTGGAGCGCTACTAG